GGAGACTATACCAGTAAGCGAAAGATTAGGGAGGCGATAGAAATTTACAAACAGCCAACACCGTGAATGGAAGTATGAGTGTAGGAAGGAAATAGCACTTAGCAAGAAGAGGCTTGATTAGGCTGGAATCTGATTTTGACTCACATCACACTCATTTCAAGAGCAATCTACTAACACAACACATGTGCGATGACACGCAATAACATGCGGAAACAAAGGGTTAAAGGCATACGTGTTTTAGGGGAGGATGCAGCTGCTCGGTTTCAATTGCACCCATATCACGCTTCATCCGTGGACACTTCACATGCCATCCGCAGCCACTTAACTTAACTAATGAGCAAATATAGAGGTAAGGCATAAGACATCCAACTAAAACACGAGATGCACAAGTGGATTAAATTCGAAATATAATAAGGAAGTAGGTTTGATGCCGGCCACCTTTCTTGTCTTCGTGTTTTTGATGAATTATCGTTAAGCATGGTGTCCTGCTTTGACGATATCCGTCACATGACAGACGACAGCTCAGCAAGGATTTATCGGGGTCGCAGAGCGGTGCGCCAGGGAACTATTCGCACAAATCTACAACCACAGCTCCAAGGCAACCTCTTCCTAGCCTCCGCTGGGAGCAAATTACCAATCCCTTCCACTCGCATCTTTAAACAAAACGAAAGGTTCTCCAACTTTCAAGGCTTGACATTATCTGCTTCGCACATATGTGGTCATTTTCTCTGAATTAGCCTGCGATAATAGTTAATGCGACTCTGGCAGACTAAACTATGACAAGGCACTATCATCCAAACAAAAAAGAATTGATATTCATGTTTTTCGCTAAAATCCATATAGAGAACATAAAAAAAGCATAACTACTTTGTGTAGAAAAAATAGTTTTCAAAGAATCTCTTCATAAACTAATGTTGGAGTAATTTTCATTTAGTTTGAATAGAAAAACGGAAGAGATCCGTAGGTTAGCCACAAAGGAATCTGTATAATGATCGCCTTGTAGCTGTGATCGTACATTTATGCGAATAGGTCCTAGGCGCACTGCACTGCCACCCCGATGAACCCTTGCTAAGCTTTCGTCCGTCATGTGACGAACATCGTGCTTTACGACAATTTACCTAGCACAAATAAAATAATCAAAAGTCAGAATTGTCTGAATACTTAGAACACACAGAACACGAGATAGATTGGTCTAATGCTAAACGCTTAGGTAGATATGGGGGGAAGATTAGGGAATCTATAAAAATAAACAAAACAGCCAGTAACTTGAATAAAAGAAATGAGTGTAGGAAATTAGGGCAAAACTACTTAAGGTTGTTGAATATGATTAGATAAAGAGGGTTAAAACAAGAAGTACCACTGAGCAAGAGTAGGCTTGATTAGCCTCAAATCTGGTTTTCACTATCAAACCTCATGCGTTTCACGAACGTTGAATGCACACAGCACACGGGAAATGAAATGCAATCATATTCGGCAATACTGCAGGACCAACAAAAGTTTTATAGGAGGATACAGTTGTTCGGTCAAAGTTGCATCCCCTTCACGCTTCATTTGCAGACACTTCACTTTTCAACAGCATGCAGGAAAAGCATAAGATCTTTAAGCAAATCATGAGAAGTCTCACTAAGTGGACCTAGCTAGGCTATAAAAGTATGCAGAATTGAAGCTGACCACCGTTCTTGTCTTGGGCTTGACTTCACTTGCCTCTTTGAAGAGTTTTAGTTTGGTGCTGAAAATGGTAAGACTGACCGATGATGTCGGTGAAATGTCTGAGAATGTACCAAGTTCAGTGTCCGACGGTTGGAAATATGATAACTAGTATAGCAGAGAGTTTCGGACAAGGTGAGTCTAAGTCTACCTGATAGCACAACCAAGTTGCGAAAAATAAAGGTGTTGTTCCAATCCACTACCTTCGTGGCAAAATAAACGATGCCCTTAATGAATAGCTAAAACATACCTGATAGTCGACGATTTCCTGACGCCATTGATCTTCACGATATTGCATGAGGCGCGTGCGCTCAGCCAACTTTCGGTTGACGGACTCTAGAGTTGCCTGCAAATGTGTACAAGCCAGCTGGGAAGCTTCACGCGTCTCCTCGCTGGCTGCACGAGTTTCTCCGGCTAAACTGGCTCGTTCCTGTGCAGCCAAGCAGACAGCCTGCACATCTGCAAGTTGGTTATGTAGACCAGCTATCTCCCTTAATGCATTTAATGGTATTTGAAGATAATAATTTAAATAAAGTGAGTAATAAAGAGGCTGTAAATACGGTAGAAAAGGAATATAAGAATATTAGCAGGGAATTAATTAATTAAGTGTAGAC